AATTTGAATATTGTCAACTTAGTTCATGGAGATTACCTGAGTAAATAATCAACCCATTCGATTATTTACAATCAGATCAGATTGATTTTAAGTTTATTATGAACATATGAAAGTACTTCTTCAAGTTAATACGATCATGTGATGACAATAACATGTATTTGTTCTTTTATTTAATAAAATTAATATTAACTAGTATTGTATCCCTTTGTTGGTTGTAGATACAAAATTGTTAAGGCTGGAGCTGGGAGGAGCCACACAGTCGTGGTAACTGACGATGGAAATTCATTTTCATTTGGATGGAATAAGCATGGACAACTAGGTTCAGGTTCACTGAAGAATGGTAAGGTCTTGCAAGCTGCACACTGGTAAAAAATTATTGTGTGAGTTTGTTTGTGTGTGAGTGGAAAGGAGTGGTGGTTGGGCTTGTTTGGATATTATTTATAGACCATGCAGTAAAAGATGTTGTTTCCTACCTTTGTATGCGAGGAGGATTATCACTTCGATTAACATTTTTCAATGTTGATCTCATGCAATGGACCATGTGTTTAACCAATGTTTTACATCACTCACTATTACATTGTAAGATAAAATGGGTGTTTTATATGGAGTTTCACTAGATAAAAATTAGATAACAATACGCTACCTAAAGATATGGAGTCCACCCAGATACATAAGACTAGGTGGCAGAGATGTAGGATCAAGTTGTTGCATGCAGACCTGCAAACCAAGGTGTGATTTCTAAGCATAACTGATGGTGGTTTTCTATCTTGAGAAGTTAGATTCTTTGATTCCAACTAGGATTTTGGGAAGCTGGGCTGTAAACTAATATTCCAGGCCATCTGCTGGGAGCTATGGTTGGAAAGAAACAGACCCATCTGAATTAAAGCCCATGAAGATATCCAGATCATTAATGCAATCAACTCTGCTGTTTGGAACTGAACTTTTATAATGCTGTTGACATATGATGGGGTTATGATCACCTTGATCACACATTATATTTTAACTGTTTTAGCGAGCCAAAAAAATGATTTAGGGAAATTTTATATTTGATTAACCGATACCAGACTATCAAAGTCATTTTGGAATAACAAAGAGCTTCTTGGGTGTCAAGCGGATCTTAGAAAGTGTTTTGGTCGATAATGAGCTCATCGACAACAGATTCTTCAATGGCATATGACCATGATGAGTGGTCATTCTTACTCTACTTGCTAGAATTTATGTGTTTCAGTGAAAGATGGATTACTTGGATACTTATATATCACCTTTTTCTATACTCTTTGGTAAGGCTCATCGAGTGGGTTCTTTTGTAATGGTTTTGGTCTCTGACAGGGTGAGGTGATATCCTGTTCTTTTTCTTGTTGACCAAAAAGACGGCAGATTTGAATTTGGTCAAAGCTTTAGATATAGTCATGAGGGACAAAAGGTTCAAATGCTACAATTTGCTGAGAATACAACTTATGGGCTGGGGTTTCTAGCTAATTAGTTACTGGCTGATTACTATCAAATCTTCTTGGTGCAATCGAAAGATCATATCAATGAATATCTTTTATTTATCAAAAAAGAAAAGCTAGCTTATCTTCTTGGATCTCTTGATCAAGCATGATCTCGTGCTTGAAGCATCCCTTTCATATTTTGAATTTTTTTTAA